TTGGTCTCGAAAATGTCAAATATTTTTAATTTTTTCTTACAAAAATTCTGAATTGTTAAAATCCATTTGCATGTGAAACCTTTTTCCATACAAAACAAGCGATTGAATAGCAACTTTTGGAACGTTCGCCCAACTCAGCAGCACGACCGCTGATTACTGGGCCTTGCAAAGGATGGATCAATGCTTCGAGAAGCAAACAAATTTACTAGGAAAGAAAGTTGCATCAATTTTTATTTTTTCCAATTTCAATTTTTTATTTTTTATAATTTTTTGTATTTCACATGGCACGCTTTGATTTAGAAGAAAAAATTCAGAACAATTTTTGACACTTTCGATACCAGAAGCAACAACAAAATACACGCAAATGTTGTTTTTGCTCTACTGATACTACCTGTTTAATGTGCCTTGGTACATATGTATGAAAAATTATACCGGCACACAACAGAAAAAAGTTATTTCTACTTTGGATTGTACCCCTTTACTTTTATACATGTTGGATATGTATTTTTTCGCGCTAAATTTGAATCCGCTGTTGGTTTTGCTCAAACTCCTTCAAATTTGCGAACGAAAATTTTGTGCTTCTTCCTTGAAAAAGTTGAGAATTAAAAATATTTTCGAAATAAAGAATTCATAAAACTCCTTTGCCATAACTTTATGAAAACTTAAAAAAAAATGGGATTTGAATTTTAAAAAGGTGGCAAACCTCTTCAAAATATTTTCAAAGAAAAGCTTTCGTTAACCTCTTTCGTTGGCCACACATATTGTAATACTACATTTGAATTAAAAATAAAATTGTATTTAAGTTTTTAAATAGATTTTTAAATCTCGTTCGCTTGGCATGCATATTGTGAAATTTCGTTGATCTAATAATTTAAAATAGAATTTAGCTTTTTAAGCAGCTGGCAACTCTCTCAAAAAATATTTTAAATCCAGGTCGTCGGCTGTCCCTATGCCGAGTTTACGCACACAGTCACTCACAATTTTCAAATTTATAAAATCAGTATGATTTCATTTCACTTGACAATTAAATTGATTTTAAATTCCTCAACTGATGGCAATGCTCGTCAAAAATATTTTCGAAATAGGAACAATTTTCTTAAGACCTCTCTTTTGTGATACCCATACTAAAATATTTCACCTAACTTGCTAAGTATTTGAATTGATTTTAATTTTTGTAGCAGGTGGAAACTCTTCTCAAAAATATTTTCGAAAAAACTTTCTTAAACTGCTCTCGCTTGACACCCATACCCCACAATATTTTCTCGTTTTATACCCGCATTTAAATTTTTCATTTAACTGTTATTTAATTTTATTGTGACTTTTTAAAAAGATGGCAACCTTCTGAAAGAAAATGTTGTGATATTTTAATAATTAATTGACTTTAACCCTTTTAACAGGTGGCAAGCCCGTCAAAAATATTTTCGAAACAAATAGTTTTGGTAGCCCTTTTATAATTTAATTATCTATTTTATCAGCTTATTTGCATAATATTATTGCCGAGCCTGCACAGCACAAAACTTACTTATTTTACAGTTTAATAGAAGTTTTTCATTTAAGTAATATGTAAGTAGCAGCGACACTTAAAATAAGAGAATCTTTTTGTTTACAGGTTTCCTTTTGCTTTTGTATTTTGTCACCTGATTGGAAGAACGCCAGTTCGAAACCCCCCTATCTAAGAAAACTTTTCAAGAAAGCCCTACTTCAGAATTTGATTAAAGAACGCCCTATTTCAGAATTTTATTGAAAAAAAACCCTACCTCAGAATTTGGTTCGAAAATACCCTATCTCAGTTGAAAATACATTGAAGATGTGCCGTGATAGGGCGATTTGAATTGGCATCTGATATAGGGCGTTCTTCCACCAAATTCTGAGATAGAACGTTATTCAATCTAATTCTGAAGTAGAGCGTTCTTAAAACCTCTTCTGAGATAGGGCGTTTTCGCGCTAAGTATACGATACACTTTTTTTTTGCAAGTAAGCTACTTTTTGCTCTTAAATAGTTTTTAGTAAGTTTTTGAATCATAAAACTTGTAGATGACTTATAATGAAATTGTTGATTTTATATAACTTTTAAGATATCCTCTTCAACGAATCTTGCTGCAAATATGAATGTGATTTTGTCTATGAAAAGCGATTAAAGTGGTTGAATTTATGGTTGTAGTACAGGTTAGACAGAAGAAATTATTCGTTTGTCTTTTTTAAAATGCAAACTATTTATATTTAAATTAATGTATGCATGTGCATAAGAAACAACATTCATTCTTATAAATTGTTGAACTGGAAAGCACTAAGAAACCAACTAGTTTTAGTATATTTTTGAGAGAGCTCACTGGCAGTGATAATTAATAAATACATAGCTAAAACTGGACATATTTTTAGACATTGTTAAGTATTTACATTAAAACACCAAATGTATTACGAACTTGCATAGATTTAATTATACAAATTTTACTGCTTATTGTATGCTTACTAATTAAACTACCTTTTTCGCAAAAAGCGATCACATTCTTCCTCTTTCTCTCCTATTTTCAAAATGCAACTACATATCGATGGCTGAGTTCAAGATCGACCTATCTTGGCAGCCAGTTCGAAAATGCTCTATTTCAGAAAATTTTTCAACAATGCCCTATTTCAGAATTTGGTTGAAGAACGTTTTTGGAAAATACTTGAAATTAATTTCAAAAGTCTGCAATTATTTAAAAAATGATTCATGAACATTTTTTTATTAAATGTATCCTTTGGAATTATGAATAATTTTTTAAATAATTGCAGGCATTTGGAATTAATTTCAAGTATTTTCCAAAAACGTTCTTCAACCAAATTCAGTCAACTTCAACATAACCTCCAAATTTTGGTTATAAGGGCGTGTGTGAATCGGTAGCAAAGTTCTATGGGGTAAGCTGTTGAATAATATTTTTACTATGGTGAGACAATTTTGCCAATCCGCTGGGTGAAATGAAATATTTTTTGACAGCAGTACATTTTTCATAACCGCAGATTTATGCGGAATAAAATATTACTAATTGAAGTGAAATTAATATTTTAAGAAAACATCTACCATCGTTGATTGCAATTCATCAGCTTAAGCTTTTATTTAACGAAAAATTATGCACATCAACAATCTATGCGACTGTCAAAATTTTTCATGCATTTGTCAAAAATTTCACTAGCCTCATGAGCTACTAAAATTTTATTCACCTCATAGTTTACTCGCCGCGAACTTTGTTACCGATTCACACACGCTCTAAATGTATCCTTTGGAAAAAAATGTATGAATCATTTTTTAAATAATTGCAGGCATTTGAAATTAATTTCAAGTATTTTCCAAAAGATTTTTTTCTTTCATTTCTCAGCATAAATAATTAAAAAAACTAGAGCCTTTTTAAAAAATCGCCACCTATTGATCGATGCAAAATTTAATTGTCTTTTATTAAAAAAAAAAAAATAAATAAACTTGAAATCAGTTCATATCCGGGCTCTCAAAATTGATTTGTCCATAGCAACCTGTTTTGCCCCACTGTGCGGCGTACCGACGAGCGATCAACGACATTTATAGGGAGTCGGTCCCCGCTTACCACGACTCCCGGCCTATGAATACCGTGATCGGAGCCCAATCACCACCTGTAGCAGTGACGGATCTTCCACTGACAAGAGTGACTCGCGTTACCCTGGCACAGTTACGGTCTGGATACTGTAGCCGCCATAACAGCTACCCCAATATCCCCAATGAGTGCCCGGCATGTGGAGACTGTCCGCCCGACACCAACCATCTCTTCACATTCCAGCTCAATAATCCTACTCAGCTGACACCCATCTCCCTTTGGTCCGACGCTATTGATACAGCCCGTTTCCTGGGCCTACCATTATTTGAGCTTGACGACATTGATTGAAGGATGAACTGAATTAATGGGCTTAGTAGCGCCGCTACAACAACAACATCATCAACAAAAACAACAACAACAACAGGGAAAACTGGTTGTTAAAAAAAAAAACCAAGAATATTTTAAATTTTTCAAATGTTTTTTTAATTTTGAGCTTTTTAAGTTTGTTTTCGAATTTTTGGCAAACATTTGTCAGACATTTTTGAATAACCTGTTTTTGAGCTATGAAAATATGTTTTTGGATTTTTTCATATAATTAAATTTTGGATTAAGTACTTTCTTTTATTTCTTCAGTTTAATTCAATTTATTTAAGTTTTTAAGAATTAATTTAGGAATTTTTTATTGAAGAGTTTTTTTGATTGACTTCGCCTTGATTTGCCCGCTTCAATTAGGGGAATGATACTGTAAGTTTTTTCCAAGGAGGCTATGTATTTGCTTCTTAAATTCAGAGTAAGAGAAAGGTGTAAAAAACCTGGGAACTAAAATCCATAAAAAGGCATGGCTTTGCATAAACGAAAAAATTAGGATTCAATCGCAAGTGGCCCGCATTGCGTTCTGAAGGACTATGGTTGCACATTAGGGTGATCCAAAAATGCATGTGAAAAAATAACGCCCCAATTTTAATGCTCAAACACCATATATTTGTTCTATATTGAAAAAATATATACCAATTTTTTTATTTCAAAAGAAAAAAATATTTAGAGGTCGCTCAAAGCGCTCCAAGTTTTCCATATATTTTATATGGGGAAAAAAATTTCATAGAACTGGTACAGAATTCTTCAAAATCAATATTTTTCGAAAGGGAACTCTGTCTCTCTTCAGCAGACTTGAAAAGTAATAGCCAATTGTATATTTTACCAATTTTAATATTAACTTTTATATGGGGGACCTCTAAACTTTTTTTTGTTTGATTTAAAATAATTAAACAGGAGTTTTTCGGTGTAGAACAAACCTAGGGGTTGAGAGTATTAAAATTGCGACTCAACTTTTTTTTGGATCATCCTAATGCACATATGTAGGTATGATGTATGTACGCACAATACGAATATTTACTTAGAATCGCAAATGAAATGGAAAAAGTCGTAATTAATATTTTAATTTTTTTCATAAAATGATGTGGGAGTTGTTAATCGATGAAATCCATCATATAAATCAAAAAGTAACTTTTGAATTTTTTATTAGTTATGACTTATTGCATTTCAACGATAATGTTTCTTACGTCTTTTTGCATTTCAGTTGACGATATGTACGTACATACTTTCTTAAAAACACTCACCCTACACTTGTGGACAGCTAGCGAACAGTTCTCGAAGGGGTAGATTTTCCCGAAGCAAGCGAAGAAATGTCTAGATGTGTGCGTGCAGAACTACAGCTGAGCAGGGTGCAAATATGTATACATTCACCATATTTACGTTGACCAACTGTGTCTAACACGTGCTCAACGTTTAATCAATACAAACGTGAAACAATAACAAAACGAAGCACTGGGCTATTAGTAATAAAGCCGGGCTGATTGGCCAAGGGTTGATAGAGAACGTAAACAAAGGCGACACAAGCGAGTTACCAAACAACTTGTAAAATGGCCAAAACAAAGCATAGGAGGACACCTGCTGGTGACGCGCTCAGAAACGATTTGGTAGCCAAACAGAGGTGATGTTTGTCAAAAGCGATAAAGGCTGACATTACAAAAAAAAAAAAATTATAAATAAAAATTAAAAATATTGGAGAAAAATTAATTTCTGATTTCGCTTCTTAACTTAATTTGCTAAGCACTCGGAATTCTTAAAAAAAAACTGAAAATTAAATAAAAAGTGAAAAACCATCAGTTCTGCATGTGCTTGGACTGTGTAGCATGGATTTGTGCCTGCGGGGGTCGCAGGTAAGCAGCATACTCTATTACCTATAGTAGAAAATATTAAGTTTAAATTGTGCCCCCTATACCTCCAGATAAATTTAGTTGAACGTCAGAAACCGCGTCCCAAATATAACTCTCAAACAAATCTATACAACACGAGTGCCAATAACAGCCACAACGGCAGTAGCAGTCGCCTCAACAACTCCAACATCCGCACACGTCCACGTTCGGCACAATTCTTCACGAAACGCAGTCGCTCTTCACCTTTTCTCAATCGTCCACAATCGGCAGAGCCCTGCCAATTTAGCGCTGCTAGCGGCATCGGTGTTGGGCGCGCGTTAGGCAGTAATTCCGGTCAATACTGTGACCGTGGTGGCGAGTACGCGGCCGATAAGTTTAGCAAAAATGTAAGTCGGCTTTTTGATTGCATAATTTTTTACTGTTCATCCTTTTCCAGAAGCGCTACCAGTCGATTTCTTCGTCAAATTTACTGAAGCTCCTGCTAGATGAGCCGATAAAGCGGTCCTGGCTTTTCCGTGGTAGTGTTTCCTCGCCAGAAACGCAATCAGAACAGAGTAGCGCCAGGAAGTACGCGCCAACTCCCACAGTTGGTAGCAGTGTGGAGATCGAGAAGTTGAGAAAGCAGCAGCAAGTGAGTGGAGAGAATAATAGATTCAGTATGAGGTAAGTTCTTTAATGGGATATTCTAATTGGCACACAACTCCCTCGCTATTAACTACTTTTTCTTCCACCCAGTGCTTCAACTTCGCGCCTCTCTAGCGCCACTTCCGCTTCGAGTTATTCACGCGAGAAGTCGGCCGCTTCCACTGCCTCAACCACATCGCTGCGCGCTATGGACTATTGGCATACAGGCACTGCATCAATGCTACAAAACCAATCCAAGCCCGATCTGCCAGGGCGTGTGTCTTTCTCTAAACCCAATACCACTACACAGTATGAACCGAATCTCAGTCTCAGCGACTGTGAGAACGATAAACAGAAGACATGTGATTTTTCGGCCGCTTCTAACCGATCTCAAGTTGAGAGCTCCATTTCTGCGCCTGGACCTGCAACTCTGCCAGCTGGCAATAGCTTTAGCACAAAACCCGAATTCGTGGCACCAACTGTGTCTTCTGCTGAACTTTCTACTGCAGCGGGCGCTAAAAAGTCGGTGCATTTTGGCGCAACTGCCGGTGGGGAAGGTATACTCGCTGAGACTTATGAATACCCCAAGTGTCCGTCAGAGAATTGTTCTTGTAGTACGCGTAGCTCATCGACAGCGAGTAGCACACAAGACGTTGTTACGGACGCGAAGTGCGCGTGTGACTCGCCGACTTGTAAATTTAGTGCAGAGCGTATGTTGAGGAGAACAAGTGTGACTGGTGCTGAGGATAAACTTGATTTTTCACTTAAGGATGGCGCACCGAAGCAGTGCTCGCCTACAGAGGAACTCAAAGTGATACGCGATTATAAGAGCGTCGTTGGTGATCAGCTGGAAAACTCAGTTGTCAAACAGATACTTGAAGAGGACAAAACAAAATTTGTTGGCTATGAAAGCTCTAATAACACACGTGAAATGTCAACGTACTTGGATAAGTACGTCTCGCCAACTAAGACGAATGTTTATTCAGATAAGCCCAATAATTTATCTGAAGCGAAGCAGTCAACGAATTTCAAAAGTGGCACAAAAAAGAATTTAGCCAGCAGCACTGCCAACGAGCTCAATAAGATGGATAATAATTTGGAAAGCAATTTGAACAGAAATACTTCGTACGCTGGCACTAGTGAAACAGTCATCAATAATTACCTAAAAGTAGCTGCGACCACACCGCTAATGACCAAGAAAAAAGAGAATAATCGCCCAGACTGTGGCGATAAACAGCCGCAAGTGAATGGCAAGAAGCCGCCAACAACAGCATCTACGAACAACAATCAGCCGCCGAAGGGTAAACGTAATGGCAATGCTAAGCTGAAGAAATCAACCAGCTTTGGTAGTCTCCGTGAGGATTCCAGCCTGACTGAGTTCAATATAGACAAGGTGGATAGCTGGATGTCCATGTATGGTGAGAGCATGCAAGATCGCAAAACTTTGGGGAAACACAAGTCGCTGGAAGCAGATTTTGATAAACTAACAGGAGAGCTCAGCGGCGGAAATGGTTTAGACTTAGGTGCCCAAGAAGACGATGAGCAGGCGCAGCATAACGGGGACGAGCCTGGCGATAGTGGATCACAAGTGTCTACGCGATCGGACGGAGAGTCCACGTATGATGAAATCGTGTCGGTTATTAAAGAGATCGATGAGGACAAAAAGAAAGGTAAGTGTTGTTAGGATAATTTGAATTTGGAGACACTTAAGAGTCATGCATTTGCAGATAACTACGCTGAAAGGGCGGCTAATGAGTTGGAGCTTAAGCTGAATACACAACCCGATACGGTGACTTTGCCTTCGACACGTAGCGAGCTGACTAACAACGATACGTCTAAGTCGCCGGATAAGTACACGTGAGTTTATGAAGTTTTGTAGAGATGACTTAAGAGGATGAAGCATTGGCGAATTAGTTGCACTTACGAGCAAATATTTCTTTTCAGGGACATACTTAATTATTTGGATAATGTAGAAGATAGTTGCGATCGCACTTTACTCGAAACGCGTCGCTCTATACCGGAATCAAATCGCTCTGAAATGGAATTTGTCGTGGAACCCGATATAGCCGAGGATGTGCCTAAGTAAATAGCAGTTTGGCCGATTACTTTTTCACTCAACGCACAATTTATATTTGTTTCTCTCTCTATCTCTCTCTTTCTGCTCTCGCCGATCTTCAGACTAGCCGATCTACTCATGCTGCCCAATCATCAGCTCGCACGTCGTGTCATTGCGTTGAGTTTGCGCGCCAACGAGCTCGCCAATGCCGTTTACCTTTCCAAAGAGCATGTGATAAAAGTACGCACTGAGAAACAGAAATGTATACGAACTGAGAAGGCGCATGCAGCAAATCGCATGCGTGAACAGAAGAAGCATTACGAGACAATTGTGAAGCGCCATCAGGGCTTTATAGAGCAGGTGAGTGTAAGAGTTGACTTATTTAAGCGAGACTTATTTTTTGACTAACAACTTAAACTGCCTTCCATAGCTGCTTAAGGATAAAGGCTCGTTGTGTGAGAAAGTTGCGGCGCTCACACGTCGCTTGGAGAGTCAAAATCAAGCATGGGAGCACAAGCTGGAAGCGGAGGTAGCGCGAGTGAAGGAAGTTACGTTGGCTGGTGAGAAAATCCGACGCGAGCGCTGGGTGCGCGAAAATACAAAGAAAATTAAGGTACCAGTACTTTCAACCAATTGATCACTTACATATATTGCTTATACATTTGAGTGTCATGATACACTTCTCTTGCAGGAACTCACAGTGAAAGGTCTAGAAACGGAAATCAATAAAATGACTTGCAATCATCAGCGCGAAGTAACTGAGCTCAAGCAGGCTCATCAATATCAACTGCTGAATGCATTAGAGGAGGCGCGTTTAAAGCATGAGCAAATTGAGAATTCCATACGTGAGTCGTGCGCACAAGACCGTGAGTCGATTATAGAGAAAGAGCGGCTCGCGATACGCGAGAGGTGAATACAGTAAAGGCGCAAATATTTAAGAGTTGCTAAACAGAAGTTCGGTTTCCTTTTGCATTAGATTCGAGCGGCAATTGGAGGAGGAGCGCAAATGTTTCGATGAGCAGCGCCACAAGCTAATTGAAGAATTCGCCGCTGAGCGCGAGCGGCTACACCAAGAGCTAAAGGCAAAGGACGCGGATTATCAAGCACGTCGTCATGAGTTGCAGCGCGAAAAGGAAATGGAGTTAGAGCAAACAGTCGCCGAGTTGCAGGATAAAATGTTCAAGCAGGAGGAGAAGTATCAGGTTGGTGTGCACGTTTATCTATTACCACGAAATACTATTCTACAGAAAATCATTTGTAACTTTAGAACCGCATCAATACCATCGAAAAGCAGTACGAAGCAGATTTTAAGCTGTGGAAACGCGACTATGAGAACGAGTGCAAGGTGAGGCAAGTGGAGAAAGAGAATACAATTAGGCAACACTATCGCACCGAGCGTGATCGTCAAATCGATGCGATAGTCAATCGTATGGATTCAGAGGCACTCAAAAATGCCGAGGAGTATGAGGCGAAATTGAAGTATGTGCGAACGGAGGTGATGCTATTAAGAGCGTCTAACTAATTAAAATAAATTTTATAGTCGTTTGAAGGAGAAATACGAAAAGGATTTGGAGCTAGTCGATAATGCTGAACGTGTGTTGCGTGAGAAATTTACAGAGACGCGTAGCTCCTTAGCGGAGGCGGATGCGCAAGTGCGGAACTCAGAGGCGGAAATTAAGCAGTTGAAAATGGAGTTGGAGCATAGTAAGAAGGTAAGTTGGGGAAATATGGGCTGACGAAGGTAGGGCAAAGACAAAGGTTTCAGGTGAGAGAGTTGCAAGCAGATCTTTGAAAAGAGAGATCTATAATTCGCGCTTTACATTATAACTTTCGGATGGAAGTAAGGCGGTCTGGTTAGATTCTCGTGGCTGTCCTCATCTGGGTTTATGATGGAAGCAAAGTTGGACTTAAGGGTGCCCTTGATCATACCGTTCAAAAATGTATTGATGTACATAGACACGCCTATGTCTAACTAGACTCAGGTGGAGGCAAAGGAAAATTACAACATTAGTCGTTCGCCGAAAAGGCGATTCTGCTGGCGCGAGTGCCCATAAGGCATAGGTCCTTTATGATCCCTAAAATCAGTAGGATTTGAGAGTGTTCCAATGAGCTTGTGACCGTGTGCACTTCCTAGTCCTAAGTACAAAGTCGCTCAAACGATGATTCTATAACTAGAATAACTCGAGAAGGGAGGTTCTTATAAATTTTCAATATGTCGTTAACTTCTACAATTTCAGAACTTTATTTTTAAGAATTGGGATAACTGTAGATTGGAAGCAGACATTGTCTTTGTGCTGGGGTAGGTCGTTGGCTGGGGTAATACTCAGGCACCAATGGGCCTTGCAGAGGATCCATTACCCAGCTGAGCGGCGAATTCAATGTATCAAAGGAGGAAGAGAGATCACAGTGATGAGAGAATAGGCAGCAGTAGAGATTTTGGCCTTTACGGAGACGATAAGGGAAACAGTTGCTGTTCTTGTGACAGTATAAATTATTGCCAACAAATTGTGTGGAATGCTTAGTGGTAACAGTCGAGTAGAGATAAAACAGGGTAATTTCAACGTCGCTTAGTCGCGGATGCTGTAGTGTCGAACTTCTGCACTTCTCATCTTTTGCAATTGAAAAGGCGACGAAATTCTATACAATTGTGTATTTGGGCATCGCATCTTCGATAGTCTCCAGCCTCAGTACCTCGCGAGATAAAACTTCTAGATGAGCTGGTTGTGCTTCAAGCCGTTCGCAATCGAACAACATATGTATGTTTCACGTCTCCTCCTACGCCAAATACATGACATCTTTCGCAGTTATGAGGCATGATTCGGTAAATATTGCTTCTAAGAAACTGAGTTCTCCGTGTTACCGTGATATCCATACTGCTATAGGTACGTGGAATTAAAGTGTACGTCCATCTGCCGTTAGACGATGCGTCTCACCGACCTTGCCTTATTTGATGTGATGAAGCTTTTTCTCCCTGTATTCATTCGCTCTGCCCTCTCGTCCTATGTCCCCTTTTCATACGCGAGAATGTCAAATGGTAGCCTGCCAGCTGTTTTAAAGGCGCTGATAACCCGGATAGAACTTGGTCTGTACACCGACTCACGCATTACCCTTTTAAAACTTCTTGAACCGCTCACATTTGAAATAATTTTCGTGAGTGAACTATTAAGTTTTGTGGCCTTTAGAGAAACATATTCAGCATGCTGTCGAAAGCTTACACTGAGGTAAAAAATTTTACAATTAAAAAACAACGTACTAAATTAAAAAAAATACGCATATGAAAGAGCACCAACCCAACTCGTTTTAAATTTGAGTATGTACGTTATAAAAGATGTCGTTGTGAAGTGCACACATGCTTTTTCATAATTAAGAAAAAAAAAAGAATTTAAAGGAAAAAAATAATTTTTTATGTCCGTCTGATGGTAATTGAATCCGGGTCCTCTTGGCAACAACCAATTGTTTCAAGCGTCTTAGTGCATTTAGTGCGCGATTAGTGCATTTGTACAGATAAGCATGTATCATGCATGTGTACGTGTGTATGTGTTATCACCGCTGTGCATGCTTTGTATACATATACTTTCTAAATGAAAAGGCATCCGAGACGTGCAAAACGTCATCCGTGCAGTAAAAAATGCTTCATTTTAATACGGGCGTATTTGAATTGAATATTTCCATTATACATAGTGTAAGTATAATGGAAGTATTCAATTTTTCACTTGATTTAATACGTACATTTTTCACACATAGCACATGAGGACTTTTACCTTACAGTCTGTAGACTTACAGTCATGGGTCTAGGCGAAAACCAACAGGGAATATTGTTACTATGCCAGTACAGTTACCATAAACTGTAATTGTACGGTCCTATACTTGCTAATCAAGCGAAGCATAACTCTTGCCAACAGGTGCTACTTTGGGCAAGGTAGGCAATTGAAAAGTAGAGCTTTTTACGACGAACAAAACCCCGTCTTATTATATGGCCAGAAACGTGGACGATGACGAACAAAGATGAGAAGGCTTTGGAAGTTTTCGAGAGAACTGTCTTTTGCAAGACCTATAGCCCTTCGCGTGGGCGACTGCTACCGAAGAAGATGTGGAACGACCAACTGTACGAGAAACACAAAGATTGCGCTGGCTTTTGCAAGTTGTACGTACGGCTAAAGACGCTCCTGTGAAAAGATCTTTCGACTCCATAGCCCTGGATGGACCACGAAGGTAAGGGCGCTCACGAACAAAATGAAAGAACCAAGTGTAGAAGAACCTATCTGCAGGATGTACAAATGGCGCGAATTCGCAAAGGAGAGAGGCAATTGGCGAACTTTTCTGGTCTCGGCCTAAGCCAACAAACGTTTGTAGTGCTAAATAAGAAGAAGTTTTTGATCGCAGCTACTTTCATGCGCCAGTTCAGACATTTCCGAATCGCAGTTATCCCTGAAGAAATTACATTCAGTCCCGTGCACTGCACAATTCTGCCTCGTTTTGGCATGGATCGTTCCTCCGATATAATACTACTAAATAGACACACTTGAAGTGAGTACGTGGATGAAATCGCGTACATATTTGCCTAAAACTGATGCAGTACTCTGGGAGCAACCGAGGCCACATATCACAGGCCTTTATTTTCAAAAGTCTGGTTTGACAAAGATTCGATAGAGCAGAAGTCGAGGCAAATAAGAAGAAAGCTAGGGAAGGTTAGATAGGAAATTATTTATGCCAGATTTCTCATTGAGCGTAGAAGCCTATTGTAACCTACTTATTTGAGTCATATGCGCAGTTGTGCGACTAATGGGGCAATTTTACCCATTTTAAGCGCCAATACCCTTTGACCCGACTTTTTGAACATTTTGATTTTTTGACCCTTTTCCAAAATCATGAGCGCCTTTGCCCCTTTTCAGAGATTTTTAATGAAATGTTAACGGAACCATGATATTTCCTCCTGTAAGTACTAAAAAATGCATCACTTACAACTTTTAAAGGAAATACAACTACATTTTCTTTTTAAATTCAATAGATTTATTCTTTTACCAGTAAAGCAAAGGCAAAAATAATATGTTGACCCTTTTTCCGCCAATGACCCCTTTTTTGGGACTTTCTGAAAATTCCCAACGGCAACACTGCTTATGAGCTGGAACTCTAAGGGAGCAGTCGGATCTTATCCTATATATGTATTAAATTAAATTAAGGTGGACATAGAGACAAAAGAAGCCATTTAAACAAACCATTGAAACAAGTTTAACTCTTAAAAACTATGAGCTATGAGCCGGTTGCGAATTCATGTGCCGCTGCCAAATTGGCTACATTTACGCGAATTGTTCGCTAAAAATTACTTGAAACACCTCCGCTTCTCTTTTCAGATGTGCAACGACTTCCTGGCGGAACGTGATCAACTTCGTGATAATTTACGCAATGAAGTGCAGAGCGAGGTATCGGCCGTAAAAATGGAGCGTGACAATGAGATACAAAAGATACATAAAAGGTTGGTAATTGAAGAATAAATTAAGCAAGCAAAGCATTTTAAAATATTTTATTTTTTATGTATAAAATCAAAAAGGGTACAACAAGCAATTGAGAAAAAGGATGCCACCATCGATTTGCTGCAAAAAGAGAATGGCAGCTTGCGTGAGCGTTGTCTTAAATTGGAGACGGTTATCAGGCAGCAAAGAAAGGACTATTGTGTGAAGTAGGGAAGTTATACGGAATAAAATAACTCACGAGATTACTTCCAAAGCATATTATAGTTAGAGGAAAGAAAATATATTCATTGAAAAGGGAAATTACGATAAAAAAGAACTGAAAATGAAGTTTGAAAAATATTTACTGCTTACGGAATGCACTGCATGCCACTGAAGAAAGAAAAGAAAAATAACGCGTTGGATAATCTCTAAAGAAGTAGATTTAAGATTTTTGAAGAAAAGTAAAGCTAAAACACGGTGGCATTGCGAACTTGCATTGATTTTGATTAGATTCGGTTAAACCGATTGGATATTTTTACGTAATCAACTTTTGAATTTTATCAGTACCGCTTAACTTAATCTTTTCTTTAATCCCACTTAGCTGTTTTTGACTAATTTTTTTTATGAAAAAAAAAACAAAAGTATCTCAAGTCCACTTAACAGCTTTTAAATTTGTATTTTTATTCAAAAAATCGTATTTAAATAATTTAAAGTAATGTGCATATGCATATTAATTTATCAATAAAAAATATGTATTAATTTTAACCGATTTCAAAAGAGAAGGAAGGTTATCAAGTCATCCGAATACTGGTTTTTTTATGTTACAGGTTAACTTTGGCACCACGTCAACGGTTTTCGATAACTGTTTTTTTTAACGAAAATGCGGTTCTTCAAGGGTGGTCCCACTCGAAGTAAAGCGTAGTACACACACACACACACAAACTTTATTTAACATTGGTATTAGCATCGCATTTTACACTGCGCCTGAAAGCGCACTACAGCTTTCGTATACAATTTACCACACAAAAGTAGCTACAGTAATGGGTAACAACATGAGGACAACTGCTTGTTTGAACCCAAATTTTCAAATGGGAGTCGACGAGAATGCATTGCGGTAGCAGTTTGAAAAGGAACGTCTACGATTTTACAAAGAGTGCAGTGCAAATTAGCTACCGGAAGAACTCGGTTTGAGTTGTAGTAGGACTGTGCAACGCCTACTTACAAAGAAGCTCAATGTTAAACTATGTTTATAAAACAGCATAATCTACTTAGGGTACGTTCACACAGAAAGCTGGGCTGCGCCAGGCGAAGTAAAGCTGTTGTGTTTTCACACTGAACGAAGCGGAGCGTAGCTTTTTGTATACAATCGGCCGTAAATATATCACACAATTTACCTTCAATGAAAAGCGAGTAAAATATTCATTTTCATTTAATTATTTTGATATTTTGTTCGCATCAGCATCAAGAGGCTGAAAAATCAAAAAAGCTGTAAACCCGTTCAAAAACCATGTTTTTGAGGAATCGACTTCACTGCGAAAAAAAAGCTTCACCAATTGGTTCGTTATAGACGTGATCCTGTGGTTAATGTTAACAAGGCATTGAGAAACTGGTTAAGCCTATGTGCGGCCTAAATTGGCCAGCTAGCTCTACTGTACACAGCTTTTGCTAAGTGCTTAGTAAAATTTTTTAAATCCGCAACTGATTTCAGCATAAGGCTCGAGTTAATTAATAAATTGTTTTCTGTGTGTAAAATATAAAGGTGTCAATTTTCTGCTTTATGTTGTTAAAATATTTTTTTCTGCTAAAATATGTACTACTCTAAACTTTTCATATTATTTTACTACTTACGACTTATTACAAAATAGCAAATAAATAATATTCAATAGTAACTCAAAATACTACATACAAATATGTATGCATACATTATATTAGGGTGGTGAAGATATCACGTATAAATTTTGGTCCCGATTGGAGTTGGTTAAGACGCCTTCATAGGGTAATCTGAACTGTTTCCCACTGTGTGACACGCCTTAACCGTCTCCAATCGGGACCAAAATGTATATGTGGTATCTTCGACTATTGTAGTATCGACGTAGGGGTTGAGGCTTAGGAAATCTGATGTAAAAATTTGCTTCCTACATTTAAGGACCACCCTAATTTACATATGTTCATATATTTGCATGCAAGGATAGTTTTCCTCATGATAAAAACATTACAAGGTAAATTCATTCTCTCAATTCGTCGGCCATGATTTTGTTCTGACGTTTGCCAACATTTTAAAATCATATAAAATTGAAAATAAAAAAATTAAATTGTTCACAATTGTTGTTGTTTGAGATTGAAAATGAGAATGTGTGTGTGAGTTTGAGTTTTGATTTTAAAATTATATTGTTGGCAAACGTCAGACTGCCTCTCAATGGTTTTACCTTGTTATGTTTTTATCATGGTTTTCCTACTACGCAATGAAACTACTACAGCAAACAAGAAGCCTCTAAAAACAAGTAGCACACTCGTAGTTCTCAATTTTCATGAGTTTTGGGGTGAGTTGCTCTTTCTTTAGCCTTCAAAATGTCTTTAAAGTGTTAATATTTAGGTTACACTGTCTGAATCCGAAGAAAGGGGATGGAATTTGCCACCACCAAAATTAAACTACGTCTCAAATACTTCCTATTACACCCAACTAGTAATTTATGCTATAATCACTCAATATGTGCTAGTGTTTACTATATATACGCATTGTTTTGCTCTCCTGTTTACATACAAGTACATATATTGGGTGGAAGTGTCTAGTGGTATCTATTAACTATTGGCGCCGTTTTTACTACAGCGATATTGAAATTGATGCAATGTCATTTCTTTATTAGGAAAAAATGCATACATTTACTGATGTGCATACCCTGTAGGAAAATTTCTAAGTAAGTACAAAAGCTGCCATAGTTTACTAATATCCAGTAGCACTTAAGAGCAATTCTTGCACAGGGTAACATTAACAGTGGGTGGCAATGTGAAGTTCTCATAGGCAAAGTGGAATAAGAAGGACTTTCAGAGTTAGTTCTTTGAAAGCTTTTATGTCCTAAGAAGAACTATGCCAAACAATAGCTTATTTATTACTCCATTAAACAATAATAAATTGCATAATGAAAACTAATAAATGTTGGCGTTTTGATAGCAAAATCAATGTTACCCAAGAAACGTGTGTTGGAAAAATAAGTTGTCATTCGCTCACTATTCACTGGGTTTCAAAGTCCGACACCATCTATGTAGTATTCATTCGGCATACGATTTGATCAACGTCGAGAGTGAAATATTTACGATTCCTCAATTTATGAGAAACCTTTTTTATAGTCTACCTTATATTACGCAAGGAATAAACTTTGTATTGGGCGTTCATCTCTATAAATCGGTATTACTGTACTAAATATTCTTATATAAAATATACGGATTTTACTCTCCTACAAAAATTGTGTGATGGAAACTAACACATTCTCATTTACCTTACTAACACATTTACAAACTTTGCGTTGGTTAAAAAGAGACAACTAAATAATGCCATAAGTCGGAGGAGGACGGAACACAATCGTTTACATCAGATTTTTCACACTGCCCTTTAGAATTTGATAGAAACTTGTAGGTAGCCAGTGACTGAAATCTCTATCAGTCTTGCCACTCAAATGATTTGTCAAATGATAGTCACTGTTCTTGCAGGGTCCCTTAATAGGTGAGACCAAACTTTGAAAGCAGTTTTAAAGGGATAAGCCTTCGGGAGTTGTAATATGCGTGTGATAACGTTTGAATGTTTCGGATTATCCGAACTGATCCACAGAAGGACAGACTCGCTTTTCATACTAAATGTTTTACCGCCGAAAAAATAACAACACTAAAGCCTTTATGGACCACAAGTAATAAAGGATGAGCTGCAACCTGAGTCCTCTCCCTACATCTTATATGCTCTGCCGTGTTTCTATTGGATGGACCGCTGAAAGGCTAAGGACGGACCATACAGGCTCGGTTGGGCTCTGCATTTCACGTTAATATCAGCACTTTCGTTGCCACCAAAGCCCTTTTGACCTGAAACCCTTCCACAAGGTAGCCTTACTAGGAGTTTTTAGTTTGTCTAGTCGATTTTTGTAACTGTCTACCATCAATTTTTAATGATTCCAAGGCTCTTAATGCTGCCTGGCTGTCTGACTTGATGTTTATGCCACCCCGCCCTCAAATTTGGATCCAACCTGGAAATTACGGTTTGGTGCGGATTTAGGTCGGCGGTATAATGGGTCCGTAGCTCTTTAAAAACGACGTTCGTGAGGCCACGTACCCTTTTTATTGTGGGGTTTTCTAATTTCGCAGGTCTATGCCAAAAGATGTTGACTTTTGGTATTCATTTTTATTAGCACCTCTGCAGCTTGGTATTGCAAATTTTTCCTGCAGGCCATTTTTCCAACAAAGGCACGCACACACATATTTACATTAGGGTGGTAAAAAAAAAAGTAAATTCGGAATTTTAATGCTCTCAACTCCCCGTGTTTTTTTCTTGACTACTAAGATCGTTAGGCGATATTTATTTCGACCAAAAAATAGTATTTATCCCCATATAAAATACATAGAAAACCTATAGCGCTTTGAGCTACCTCTATATATATATATATTTTTTTTTGATTTCGAAATATAAAACAAGGGTATGTTTTCGATATAGAAGAATCCTAGAGAGTGAAAGCATTAAAATTATAGCTTAAATTTTTACACATAAATTTTCGGGCAACCTTAATGTATGTAGGTATATAAATTTATGTATGCGCGTCGCGTAATATTACTTATAACATTTTTATGTACTGCGCCAGCAACAAAGTTAAAATGCGACTGGCGTTAGGCTACTTTTTGATTGTTGCTATTTTTATACGCAATACTCGGTTGTAACCAAAGTTGTTAAAGAATAGCAAAAGCAGTGTATTGCTGCTGATATTTCTTCTATTTCTGCTATTGTTTTTGTTGCTGCTCATTTATAATTCTAATATGCTTGAGTTGATGTTTTTTTTGCCCTGCTTTGCTTTTGTATGACTCATTTCTGCGTCGCATTGGCCCAACAATAACAAAAGTTACCTTCCACTTTCCCCAATAGCGCAAACCTGTTGCTCCAATCATATGTTTTGCGTGTGTGTGTGTGGCTGTACCTGTGTAGTGTGAATTTGTGTTTGAAATTGCAACATTGTTGCAAAGAGTGTTGCAAATGAGTTCAATACTTTTCTTGCTCTCTCACCGATTTGGAGTCAGTGGCGTTACTGTAGAATTAAGGGGTATAGAGCGCCTCATAAAATATTGATTTATTTCGTAAATAAGTGTTTGGTAGTAACGCCAACACACACATAGATATAGTCTTAAACTCCGCCCCCTAGTTTTTGTACCCATGCTGGGACCGATCTTGCGCTCATTACTTTTCTTACGATTCCTTAGGTACT